GGCCAGTGCCAGTGGGGAAAGGGCTCGAATGAATTAGCCACCGGGCAGGGCCCTCGTGGGCTCAGTGGGGTGGCCCGCACGCCCTGCAGGCCCCTGATCATGTGACCCTGTGTCTGTGTCGTGCTGAAGCGCTATGTGGACGGCGGCATTTCGGACAACTTGCCACTCTATGAGCTGAAGAACACCATCACGGTGTCCCCCTTCTCGGGCGAGAGTGACATTTGCCCGCAGGACAGCTCTACCAATATCCACGAGCTCCGGGTCACCAACACCAGCATCCAGTTCAACCTACGCAACCTCTACCGCCTCTCCAAGGCCCTCTTCCCACCCGAGCCCATGGTGAGCCGGCGCCCGTGCGACTGGCCTGCATAGCGTCTCCCTGAGCTCCAGGGGAGAAAGCTGCCCCTCTGACTTCTCCCAAGCGCACGGGGGTGGGGCGGGTTGGTGACATGTGCAACCTCTTCCACTGAGCTGTGGCTTGCACAGCCTCCCTAGGGGCAGTCTGCCCAGCCTCCCTTCAGCCTGGATCTTGTTCTGGATCCAACATAGGTTGGTGGGGGTTGTGCTCGGGAGTGGAGGGGCTGTCGCAGGGAGGCCAGGGACTCTAAGGGCATGTCTGGCCCCCTCTGCTCCGATGTATCCACCCCCCACCACAGGTGCTGCGGGAGATGTGCAAGCAGGGCTACAGGGACGGCCTGCGCTTCCTGCGGCGGAACGGTGCGTCCGGCTGTGGCTGGCCAGCTGGGTGGGCCAGGCCCACCCTGCAGTCCTGCCCTGTTCAGGCGGCAGGGGCTATGGCCACACTGATCTCCTATCCCTTTGCCCTCCTACCTCCACCCAGGCCTCCTGAACCAGCCCAACCCCTTGCTGGCACTGCCCCCCGCCCACCCCCGTGCCCCTGAGGACAAGGCCGAGGAAGGGGACGCACAGAGGGCCCAAGTGGAGAGTCACCTGCAGCCGCCTGGGGAAGATCACATCCTGGAGCACCTGCCCGCCCGGCTGAATGAGGGTGCACACCAGGGGAAGGGGCAGAGCGGGGAGGGGGAGACCCTGGGAGAAGCCGAGGCCAGAGTGGTCTTGGGGTCCTCAGCCAGCTGCCAACCTCCCATCTGTGACCCACCGCAGCTCTGCTGGAGGCCTGCGTGGAGCCCAAGGACCTGCTGACCACGCTCTCCAACATGCTGCCCGTGCGTCTGGCCACAGCCATGATGGTGCCCTACACTTTGCCTCTGGAGAGCGCCGTGTCCTTCACCATCCGGTGTGCGCCGCGGGGGTCAGGAGAGGGGTGTTGGGGACTGAGCTTCGGGATTGTCCACTAGTGGTGGCCACTCGGGGAAGGCGGGGGCGCAGATGCCGCGTCAGGGCGGCGGGTGGGCGCAGGGCCTGGCCGTAGCCCTGAGGCTGTGCCCTTCGCCCCCTCGGCAGCTTGCTGGAGTGGCTGCCCGACGTTCCCGAGGACATCCGGTGGGTGAAGGAGCAGACCGGCAGCATCTGCCAGTACCTGGTCATGCGCGCCAAGAGGAAGCTGCGCAGCCGCCTGTCCGCCAGGTGAGCCCGCGCGCCTGCCCTGCCCCCCGCCGGCGGCTCGCGCCCGCCCCACTGAAGCCCTCTCTCCCGCGGTCCCGCCCCTCCCTCCCGCAGCCTGGCGGAGCAGGCGGAGCTGCGCCGCGCCCAGTCGCTGCCCTCGGTGCCGCTGTCCTGCGCCGCCTGCAGAGAGGTGCTGCCCAGCTGGATGCGCAACAACCTCTCGCTGGGGGACGCGCTGACCAAGTGGGAGGAGTGCCAGCGCCAGCTGCTGCTGGGTCTCTTCTGCACCAACGTGACCTTCCCCCCGGATGCCCTGCGCATGCGCGCGCCCGCCGGCCCCGCCCCCGCGGACCCCGCGCCCGGGCCGGGCCTGCCCCCCTGCTGAGCCGCTCCGCCGAGGCCCGGCCCCGGGATCCGCGGGCTGAGCACCCGGCCCCGCAACCTTCCTGCCCTGTGAGTCGGGCGGGGACTGGCCGAGACCCGATCCCAGCCCTCTCCCCGCGCTCTGGGAGTGGGGAGATGGCCCCTCGCCGCTGCCAAGAGGGGGCTTTGCCTCGAGCCTGCGCAGCCACTCACTCGCAGCGGGGGTGGGGGCTCGGAGTACCTTCCCCTCGGCCACCGAGGCCTCACCTGTGCCTTAACCTGCCAGTGCAGCGCTAGTCCTGAGAACTCTGCACCTGCTCCTCCCTCCCCATTTTTCACGTTTTGCTGAAGACTGTGTGTCAAGATTTATTTATTTTCGCCAAAGCAGATGTAATAAATGCCACAGCTCGGGCTCTGCCTACTTCACTTGCGCGTGACTCCGCGCCCCCCACCCCCAGGCATGGCAGACGGGCTGCCCCCTACCCCCAGCTGACCAGGGTCTCCACAGCTGCAGGACAGGTTCCCGCCCACCCTCCAGCTAGGACCACACGCCCCTCACTCTGTCCTGAGGCCCCTGGCTGACCTTTGGGCACAGCTTTGTGAGAACCAATGGAAATATTTGGGACCAAGATCCTTGCTAAATAAAAACTAAAATGTTTGCAAAAGGTGGGGTCTGCACGCCCGCTCCACAGTGATATGGCTGGGGCGTGAAGCTGCTTTTGGGGTTGGATGGCTGCGGAGGGTGAGGTTCCTGGAGCTGAAGGCCAGGGTCCTGGGAATGCTGGGCCCCTGCTCCACCTTGGGCGTTTGGGCCAAAGCCCTGCGTTCCTCTGCCATCGTTGCAAGGCTCTGCGGCCAGGTGCACGTGCCTCCTTGTGCCGCTGGCCCCACATACCGTCTCCTGCCAGTATATAGGAGGGGTCTACAATATCGAGGCAGGTCCTAGCTGAAGGGCGCTCAACCTTGCTCTGGAAGAGACATGGTTCCCAGAAAGCATGCTCTGTGGGGAGTGGGGCGGAGGCCGAGAGAATAAGGCCAGCCCCCCGATAACCAAAAAGGACCCATGGTGAGGGGTGCGGGCGCAGGCTTGGCTGGCTACCCAGATCTCTCAGCCCTGTCAGGCCCAGCCCCCACCCGCCCCTCCCAGAAGGCGTGGGGCAGCTGTGGCGGCAGCCCCCAGCCAACAATAACGGTCGGTTGTGGGACCTGGGATCCGGGACCGGGCGAGCCGGCCAGGCAGGTCCCTGGTGAGCCTGTGCCAGGGGCCACCCCCCCTCGGTCTCAAGGTCCTGTCCTATAGGCCCGACCTGTGGTGGTTCAGCTGTATCCGGGCCCCTTCCCTGGAGAAGCAGAGGCCTCGCCGCCCCCCAGTACTGCCCGGCAGGACAGCGCGGCAGGCCCTCCAGGTGGGTGCAGGGGCCGGGCTGGGGCTGGGAGGGACCCTGGGGAAGTGGATGGGGCTTCCTCCCCCAGCAGGAGGGCGGCACTCCGGCCTCACCCAGCTCCCCGTCCAGTCCTCCCCCAGGGGGACTCCCGTCAGGGCCGTGCCCCTGAAGGAGCGCTGTGGGGCCTGGAAGGTGGGACCTTCCTCTGCCCCCGCGCTCACCCTCATGTGCACTCAATGCTGGTAAGTTAAGTACCGTTTTCTAGTGCATGTGTACATTGTTTAAAACTAGGAAAAAGCAAAAGTGAGAAAGTACTGAGAAAAAGTAAAGCCTCCCCGCCCTAGAGATAACCATAGAAAGCATTTGGTCTATTTCCTGCCCTGCTTTTCCTATACACACTTCTTTGGCGCCTTAGCTGGGCTCCTCCGGACAGGGGCGCCCCTCGCCAGAGGCTGGTGTCAGCCCCCCCCCCGGTCCCCCGCAGCCTTGACCCTGCTCCGGGAGGGTTCCCAGGTCTCCAGGGGGCATCGCTGCCCCACTGCTCTGCTGGGACAGAGGCCCGGGCCCGCTGGGGGTCGGGACTTTGTCCTTCCGAGAGGAGGGGACGCGGCTACAGCAGCACAAGGCGGCTCCTCCCGGCGCCAGCCCACGCAGGGGTCTCGGTGCCTGTAGGCAGCGGGGGCCGCTCCCCGCGGGCGCCCCAGGCGCGCAGCCAGGGTCCGAGCGGGGCGGGGCGCGCCGCGCGTTTCCGGGAGGAGAGGTCGGGGCGCGCGGCAGGTGCGGCAGCGCAGCTCGCAGGTAGGAGCTCGCGGGTCCGTCCGCTGAGATCCCACTGCCGTGCCCGCCCGGCACCCGGCCGCCCGCACCGCCCCTCTGGGCCGCCGTGGGGGGCGCGGACCCTGCGCGTGGCGGTCGGGGACTCTGGTCGCCCCTCGGGGCGCGCGGTGGCAGGAGCAGGGGCGGGCTTGGCCCCCAGAGGTGCGGGGAGCGCGAGCTGCCCGTGGGCCCCACCCGGCCAGTCCTTCCTTCCCGCTCCCTGGGCCCGGGCTGCAGCGCAGCTTCCGGCCGGAGGGACCGCCGGTGCAGCCCTCGAGCCGCCGGCGGGGTGACGACCCTGCCCCGGTGAGGCGACTACGCGGCCTGGGGGGCGATGACCCTGGTCCCTCGTGTCCCCTCCTCTCGGCCGCCGCTTCCTCAGACCTGCCATCTTTGGAGACCTCCCCCCTCCAAGGAATATGGGTGGGGAGGATCCCAGCGTCCTAGGTCTGGGGGGACGGGAGGTGCTGCTGTGCTCGGAGTGACTTTGGGAAATCCGGGGTCAGGACGTTGTGGGAACAAGAGGTGGCTCTGATTAAGGGGCGGAACGTCCCTGCGAAGGGATGCGGAGGGAAGCCCCAGGAGGTTCTGGGATGGGGTGGGGGCGGGCCCTAGTGGGAGGAAGAAGGGGTGTTAGGCCCGGAATCTGGGGTGTTCCTGACAAGGGCTGTCAGAGGCACGGGAAACCCGACGTTGGGACCTTGATCTGCACCCGGGGCCCAGTGTGGGAGAAGGGAGGAGTCTCCTCTGCCTGCCAGCTGTCAGCGGACAGGGTGCACAGGCCCAGGCCAGGCGCTAGCGACGTGGCTAGGCTGGTGGAGTCCTCCCACCCGGTCGGCCCCAGCTGGAGATGTGGCAGATGTGGCTCCTCCCTCACAGACCACCTCCCCCCTCCCCTCATCACAGGGTCTCCTGCCGGCAGCTCCCAGGACCGCCCCACCCCAACTCTCCCCCTCCCTCTCCTTGGGCTCCGGCCCCCTGTGATGCCACAGCCCTGAGCCTGCATCCCCCCACCAGTGACCCCCAGGTCTGCCTGGCCTTCCACCCACCTTGCCACCCACCTGGCTCAGCCTTCTGCGCCCTCCCCCCACTTAACAGCACACAAGACGGAGACCCTCTGCTCCCATGGCCAGCGCTGGGAACCCTGGGGCCCGAGAGGCCCAAGAGGAGGACGGGGAGAAGGCAGGGGCCTTCACTGGGCCTCGGGGGCTGGTGCTGGAGCAGGCCCAGGAGCTGTTTTTGCTGTGTGACAAGGAGGCCAAGGGCTTCATCACCCGGCGCGACCTGCAGGTGAGTCCCCAGCCCCAAGGGACTGGCCAGGCCCGGAGCTCACCTGGCCGCTCGCCTCTGCCATTCTCACCTGACCAGGGCCTGCAGAGCGACCTGCCCCTCACACCCGAGCAGCTGGAGGCCGTATTTGAAAGCCTAGACCAGGCCCACACCGGCTTCCTCACTGCCCGCGAGTTCTGCCTCGGCCTGGGTGAGCTCCGAGCCCTGCCCACCCCAGCTGCCCAGGGATCTGCCCAGGGATCTGCAGGCGCTCGGTCAGCTGGTGCCTGCGGCCCTCTGTGGGGCAGCCTGTGCCTCTCCTGCACCTTCCTGCAGGGCACATGCAGGTGTCTGTACCCGCAGGTGCCACAGAGTCCCCGCTGAGGTGCAGCCTGCCGGTGGCCTTTCTGTCCCTCACTCCCTCTCCTGTGCCAATCCCTACTGGGGCTGGGAGTATGGCTGTCACCTCTCATTCCTGGGCCAGTAGGACCAGAATAAGGAAGAAAAACAGGAAACTGGGCCCCGAGACAGGGCAGGATATGTGTTGGGGGCGAGCCGCGCCGAGCCAGGGTGGTAACCCAGACTTGTAACCGCATGGCTCCTTCCCGCCCGCAGGGAAGTTTGTGGGGGTGGAGTTGGCCCAGGGCGCGACGCCCTCCCGGGCTCCAGAAGAAACCTTTGAGTCGGGCTGGTCGGCTGTGCAGGGCACCTGGGGCGCTCTGGAGGAGGCGGAGGACGAGGAGGAGGAGGAGCGATTCTACGCTGCGCTGGAGCAGTTGGGGGTAGCCCCAGTCCTGGGCGAGTGAGTCGGTGCTGGCCGCGCTGCCGGCTTCCCTTCGGCGCGCTCTCTGGGTCTGCACGCTCTGTCCCCGTCGCCCGCGCGTCCGTTCCTGCGTTGGTCCTGGGCCCGGTCAGGCCCGGCCGTTCTGTCAGCTGTGACTGACTGGGAGGGGCCTGGCGTGATTTCCCGCAGAATTTGCATTTCGGGCGGCGGCTGCGGGGAGAGGGGCGGCGCGGGGCACTGGGCCACACACACGCTGGCACGGCCCGAGCGCACACACACCGCGCGGGCCACGCACAGACGCCGGGCAGGGGCGACGGCATCCGCGAGAGGGATGCCCTGCACGCGGCACGCACGCCGGGCTGTGCGGGGACGCAGGCGTCTCCTGGGGGATCGCCCTTGGCGGAGGGGAGCCCTCCAGCTCCAGCTCAGTCCCCCCCAGGCAGCGGGCTGTGAGGACGCTCTGGGTCCGGCTGCAGCGCGAGCTACCTGAGCTGCTGGGCTCTTTCGAGGACGTTCTGACGCGCGCGTCGGCCTGCCTGGAGGAGGCGGCCCGGGAGCGGGACGGCCTGGAGCAGGCGCTGCGGAGGTGAGGGCTGCGGGCCGGGCGGGGCCTGGGGGGCGGGCACTGGAGGCGGCGCTGGGGCTGCAGTACTGGTCACCCGCTGTCCGCCCTGTCCCTCGGAGGCGCGAAAGCGAGCACGAGAGGGAGGTGCGCAGCCTGTACGAGGACATGGAGCAGCAGCTCCGCGAGCAGCGGCAGCGCCTGCAGAGCCAGGTGGGCCCCAAGCCCCGCCCCGCCGCCGGGCCCCGCCCCCTCCGGATCTGCCCCGGCCCCGAGTGACCGTCCCCAGCCCGGGGAGACAGTGCCCGGCCTCCCGCGTCGTCCCCGCCCCGCCCCACCCGACCCCCGCCCCGCCGGGAGCCTCCTCTGCACGGCCGGCGGAGGCTCAGAGGCCCGGTGCGTCCCAGAACCTCCCCCGGGAGGAGCGGAGAGGCCGCCTGGAGCTGGAGCTGCAGAGCCGCGAGCAGGAGCTGGAGCGCGCGGGCCTGCGGCAGCGGGAGGTGAGCGGCGGCTCCCGGCCCGCGCCCCATCCCTGGGGACACCCTCGCGCTCCTGGTGTCCTCGAGGCCCTCCGCGCCTCGGTGTCCCCGCCCCGGGACCGTCGGGAGCCGGAGAGAGGGGCGTTCCTCGCCAGCCTCCCCCGCCCCGCAGTTGGAACAGCAGCTGCAGGCCCGGGCCGCGGAGCAGCTGGAGGCACAGGCTCAGCACGCCCAGCTGTGGCGGGCCCACGAGGCGCTGCGGGCGCAGCTGGAGGGGGCGCAGGAGCAGCTCCGCAGGCTGGAGGGCGACGCGCGAGGCCGCCAGGAGCAGACGCAACGGTGCGGGGGCGTGTTCCAGGGGGCGGGGCCGGGCCCTCCAGGCCTCGGTCCGGCGACACTTCCATCTCCACCTCAAGTCCCGGCCCCTCCCCCAGAAGCCTTCCGGCGCCCAGGTCACCACCCCTTCCCCGCAGGGACGTGGTCGCGGTCTCCCGGAACATGCAAAAGGAGAAACTGAGCCTCCTGAGGCAGCTGGAGCTGCTTAGGTGCGTTTAGGCCCAGGCCGCGCGAGGGAAGGGGCTCGGCGGAACTTGGGGGCCCCGAGCTCCCAACACTCTTGGCCGCTGCCCTGTCCCACGGTGGAGGTTCCTTCCTGTGTCTGCCTTCCATCGCTCATGCTGCGGCCCCAGCCAGACACCTCTCTTCTGGCCCGAGGGGAGCCAGGGCCCGCCTTCCGCACCCCAGATTGCTGCCTCCTCGAGACCTGAGACCTCGGCCTCTCAGGGCCCTCACCCCCTCCCCAGGGAGCTGAACACTCGGCTGCGAGACGACAGGGACGCCTGCGAGGCCAAGAGGCTGGGCGGCAGCCGCAGGAAGGCTTTGGCCACCGCGCGCCTGCCCGGGCCCACCTGCTGCTGCTGCTGCTGCTGCTGCTGGGCCCGCCCCGCCAGACGCGGCTCCGTCCACCTTTCCAGTGCCCGGTGACCCGGGGACCATAGGTGTCACCTGGAAGCGCCCCTCAAAGGCGACCTGCCGGGGCGCGGAGCTGCACCGGTGGGCCCCAGGCCTTCCGAACGAAGACGGGAAGGACCCAACCTCGGTGGCCGGGTCTCGCGGCCCCGCTGACTGCACCCTGCCCCCACCCATTAACTCCCTTTCGGTTCAGCGGAAGAACCCCACCCGCAACCACACCCCCGCCAAATAAAGTCCCCTGGCTGCACCGCGTCGTGTCTGCCTCTCTGAGTCTGGGCCATGGCCTGTGGCACACGGGTGACGTGTGGCAGGCACTCGCCTGGCGCGGGCCCTGCGGGGCCGAGGAGTCCCGGGTCAGGCCTAGTGCTGCCCGTGGACCGAATCCGCACTTCACAGAACTGGGGGATTTGGAGCCACCTGTGGCCTCGAGGCTGCGGGTCCCCGGAGCCCCGCCCCTGTTCGCCCCTCGGTCCGCACCAGTGCCGGCGCCGGCGCGGGATCCGCAGACCGCGCCAGAGAAGCCCGGTCCCCATCCGCCGCGCCGCCGACCCCCGCCTCGGCGGGCCCCTGGGAGGGGCGGTGCGGTGTGGGCGGGCCCTGCAGCGAGGGAGGGCGGCGGGGCGGCCCGGGGCTGTGGCGCGCCCGGCCGGCGGTCCCAGGTCTACGCTCGCCTGCGCCGGGAAGGGCGGGGCCTGCGGGGCGGGGGGGGGGGCCACCGAGGGGCGGAGCCTGTGGGCGGGGCGGCCCGGTATGGGCTGGGACTGCGGGCCAGGGCGGGGCCATGAGAGGGCGGGGCGGTCTGGCGTGGGCGGGGCCTGTGGGCAGGGCCTGGGCGGGGCCGCGCGTCCCCTAGCAGGTCCAGGCGGTGCGTTCTCTGCGCGCCGAGCCGCCGCCCCCGCTAGCCGCAGCCGCAGCCGCCCCCGCCCGGACTCCGACGCGTGGTGGGTGAGTGCACCGCCAGGTCTGGCCGGCCGAGGGGGCCGAGCGCCCCGAAGGTGCTGCGCGCCCCGGTCCCGGGGGCCCGGTCGCAGGCACCCGGAGGGCCCGAGAGAGCGCTCCCGCCGACCCGGCCCAGTCCCCTCGCCGGCCCTTCCGGGAGGGAGAAGAGCGCCCGGCCGGCGCCGGGTGGGGGGCAGGAGGGAGAGGCGCCTCCCGAGTCCTCGGACAGGCCTGGCAACCCGCTTCGGCCCCGGGGCCCCCACTGCGCAGCCTGAACGCCCCACTCATCTGTCTAGACACCAGCCCCCTCCCTCCGCCCGCAGGCCCGCCCAGTGCCCGGGCGCAAGTGGGCGGGGGACGGTGGCGGCGGTGACTTCATCGCGGTGACCCGGGATTCCTCGCCGAGCCTGGCAAAAGCAGAGTCCCGGGTTTGGGGCGCGGGCCACCCAGGGGCCTGATGAAGGTCCAGGGGACTGGGGGTGGGGCCGCAGGAGCTATTTCTGGCCGGCCCAGGCTCCCACGCCGGCCCTTTCCCAGGGGGCTCACATCCACCAGGCATTCCTGGGAAGAGGGGCCACTCAGCGGGTCGCCTGTGTCCCGGCTGTGGGGGCTGGATCCGTGCTCAGAACCAGCACCCCCCGAAGGCCTGGGATCTCAGAGCCAGGCTCTGGCACATCTGAGTCAGTGGCGCTTACACATCCCTCCGGCTGAGTGGCAGGGGTCTGCCCGTGTTCCCCTCCGGATCGGCGTGTTCAGGCCCCAGCTGAGTCCTGTGTCCTGCCCACCTCGGACTGAGGTCTGTGCCCCAGACACCCAGCTCAGGGGCCGAGCTCCGTGCCTTCTTTCGTGGGCTGCGGCAGCTGCTGTTGGGAGTGGGGGGCTAGTGCCAGGGCTGGAGCTAAGGCCAAGGGTGGGACACCTGGGGAAGGCATGAGGTCCCTCCCAGGATCGGAGTGTCCAGAATGTCTTCTGCCCTGCCCCACCCTAAGCCAGACCAAAATAGTGGGCCTGGCTGCTCCTCTGGCTGCCTCTGGAGTAAACCCTGCCTGCTCTGGCCCACAGGCCAGACTGGTGATCTGTGACCTGTCCTTGCTCCTCTAGCCAAGTGTCCTGGGAACGTCTGTCTACCTGTCCTACAGAAGTCGGGCCCAGCCAGCCAGGTGAGTGCTGGGTGGGGTGGTGAAAGTCCAGCCCTGTGGCAGCAGTGTCTGGAAACGTGGCCTGGGGCGCTCAGCTGCTGTCTGAGCTCCCCCTGCCCCGCCCAGACGCGCTGACTGAGAGCAGCAGGGTGTACCTGGGGGCCTCTGGCTGGTGTGGCTCCTGCCTTTCCAGGAAGAACCTCTCCCCTGGGTCTGGAGGAGCGCGGGTCTGCCAGGCTCCATTCTTTCCTGGCTGGGAGGAGGGGCTGCCCTTTAACGGACAGGAAGCAGGCAGGCCCGGAGAGCCTTAGCAAGGGCTGGGCTGGGGCCTGTCCGAGCTCCTTGCCCCTCTGCTGCCTCTGGGGACATGTCTCTGAGTGGCCTCCTCCCCCTGCCCCCTCTGCAGGCCTGTAGGGTCCTGCCTGCCTAATGTGGGGCCCAGGGAATGCTGCGGGGCGGGCGGGGCCTAGTGAGCTCACCCGAGGTGCCACTGCAGCTTCCTCCCCTGGCTGCCAGCGAGGGTGAGTCAGCCAGTGACGGCTGGGGGTCCTCCATGATCCTTTCCTGTCTTCGGACACCAGGGGTCCGCCCTGGCTGCTGGAGGTCAGGGCTCCTGCGCAGGCCGCCCTAGGAAGTGACTCGTGTCCTGGCTTCTCCCAGGACAGGTGTTCGGCTCAGCCTCCAGCCCCGGGCCGGCCTGGGCATCTCTGTGTCCCCCACTCTGTCCCCACCGGTGTCTGAGTCTAGCTGTGCTCCCAGTCAGGGCCCTGGTGCTGTGGGCGGTCTGACTCCCGAGCCCCCAGCCCCAGGATGGGTGAGTTCAGCGAGAAGAAGGAAACATGCGGCACCGTCTGCCTCAAGTACCTGCTCTTCACCTACAACTGCTGCTTCTGGGTGAGGAGGGGATGCCCTGCCCACAGCCCTCCCCTCCCCGGCCGCGCCGCAGGCTGGGCCAGGTGTGGTGACTGGCCTGCACTGCTCGCAGCTGGCCGGCCTGGCCGTCATGGCAGTGGGCATCTGGACGCTGGCTCTCAAGAGTGACTACATCAGCCTGTTGGCCTCGGGCACCTACCTGGCCACAGCCTATATCCTGGTGGTGGCTGGCGTTGTCGTCATGGTGACTGGCGTCCTGGGCTGCTGCGCCACCTTCAAGGAGCGGCGGAACCTGCTGCGCCTGGTCAGAGGCTGTGGCAGCCCGGGGTGGGGGTGATGGGATGGGGACCTGGGCAGGGGCTCCTCGCCAGCTGCGAGGGCTGATCTGGGGCCTGGCGGGGTTGAGGGTGCCCCTGCAGCCTGTGGACACCTGGGGGCGAGGTCCTTCCCCACCTGCCCAGTCCTGTGGGTCCCCATGTCCCAGCTGCACCAGTCGAGGGGAGACACCTGCTCTGTGAGGTGTTGGGGAGTGTGGCAGGTCCCAGCCCCCACCTGCTGCTTGGAGCCCTCAGGAGCAGCCACTTGGGAGCTGGGGTCGGGGGCTGTGCTCCGAAGTGTCCGGACACAGGGAGTCCTCAAACAGACTGTCTCTGCCCTCAGTACTTCATGCTGCTCCTACTCATCTTCCTCCTGGAGGTCATTGCTGGGGTCCTGGCCTACGTGTACTACCAGCAGGTGAGGGGCCACCCAGGGCAGACACCCCACGCCACCCCCACTGCTCCAGAGCCGACCACGGGGCCTGCAGCGCCAGACGACCTGCCCACAGCAGCCAAGCTGCCTTAGGACCCATGGAGGACACAGGTGTCTGTGTCCAGGGGGTCTGGAGACCCTGCCTGCCTCTCCCCATGGTCACCCTGGTGACACTCCTGGTCCCCTCAACCCCCTGAGGCTGCTCTCTGACCCCAGCCCTTCCCCTCTGAGCCCTCCCTGGACTGCTCCCCCGCAATCCTGGGGCTCCCCCGTCCCACCTTGGAGGGGCTTGGACTTTGAGGCTGAAGTTCCCCGCATCCCCCGCCCTAGCTGAACACGGAGCTCAAGGAAAACCTGAAGGACACCATGACCAAGCGGTACCACCAGCCAGGCCACGAGGGTGTGACGAGCGCCGTGGACAAGCTGCAGCAAGAGGTGAGTGGGTGGCTTCGGGAGGGGCACGTGCCGCCAGGGCCTCCCCCAGCTCAGCGGGCGCACGCGGTGTGCAGGGACCTCAGGGCTCACCCGCCGCTGCTGCTGCAGTTCCACTGCTGTGGCAGCAACAACTCACAGGACTGGCGCGACAGTGAGTGGATCCGCTCAGGGGAGGCAGGTGGCCGAGTGGTCCCTGACAGCTGCTGCAAGACGGTGGTGGCTGGCTGTGGGCAGCGGGACCACGCCTCCAACATCTACAAGGTGGAGGTAGGTGGGCACCCCAGGGAGGGGCTGAGCTGGCCGGGGCCTGTGCCCAGGTGCTAGGCGTGGCCACACCCCAGAGAGCTGAGCCCAGGGGGGCCAGGTGCTGCCACGTGGGAGGAGCCACCTGGGCCCCTTCAGTACCCCACCCCCAACTGCGCCAGGGCGGCTGCATCACCAAGCTGGAGACCTTCGTCCAGGAGCACCTGAGGGTCATCGGAGCCGTGGGCATCGGCGTGGCCTGCGTGCAGGTGCGGGCTGTGGGGGACTCGGAGGGGACAGGGGGCTGGGGGCCCCACGGTGCCTGCTCACCCTGTGCCTGGCTCCTCACGCAGGTCTTTGGCATGATCTTCACGTGCTGCCTGTACAGGAGCCTGAAGCTGGAGCACTACTGACCTGCCTGGGGCTCGGCCCCGAGGCTCCCCACGTCCTGCTGCGGCTTCGTACCCAACTACTGAGCTCCAGGCGGCTGGGGTCCCAGAGCCACCCACCCCTGTGCCATCACTCTGACCTCTGGGGACCCCAACCCCAGAGGCGCTCCAAGTGCCTTTCTCTGCACTCCAGCGTCCTGAGGCCTGAGGAAGGGGGAGGGGTGGCTGTCCTGTCTGGTGGGGCCCAGGTGTGGTCGGTTTTGACAATAAAGCACCCTGTCCCACAGGCCACCTCTTTTGGGGTGGCCTCATGGGGTCTTGGGGGCATTCCATGCCTGTGTTCGGCCCAGGGCAGTGGTTTGAGCAGGACTCCCTGGACGCACTTCCTGCCTGGTGGTCAGAGCCAGCTGGGAGGGGGCCTTGCCGGGTGGGGGGGGGCA